CCAAGACGGCCCCAAGAGGGCCTGAAGACGGGCCAAGGAAGCCTTAAGGAGCCTCGAAGACGGCTCACGAGGGTCCCGAGACGCCAAACGAACGCCCCAAGACGCCCAAGATGCGCCCCAGACGGCCCAAGAGGCCGCCAAGACGCCACAAGAGGCCTCCAAAAGCCTCCCAAAAGGCCGCCGAGAGGCCAAAATCATTCATTTTCCCTTGGTTTTCAAATGATTTTGGCCTTCTCGCCCTTTCGGTACTCCGACGCTCCAGGACGGCCCAAGAGGCCCCCAATACCGCCCCAAGACGGCCCAAGAAGCCCCCAGGACGGCCCCAAGACGGCCCAAGAGGCCCCGAAGACGGCCCAAGAGCCGGCGAAGACGGCCCAAGAGGTTCCCAATACGGGCCCCAGAGGTGCCCAAGAGGGGGACCGCGAAGTGAGAATTCGAGTCTTCCGCTTCAGGAGGCCTTCAGGAGGCCCCACGAGGCCCCAAAGAGGCACCAAAGGGCCCCCAAGAGCCCCCTACGACGCCCCAGGAGGCCCCCGGGCGGCCCAAATGAGGCCCCAAGATGCCCCCAAACGGCCCCAAAAGCCCCCCAAACTGCCTCACAGAAGCCCCCGAAAGGCCAACCGCGAGATCGCAACCAACATCCACGAGGCCTTATACCCACAACGCAGGCACGGTGGCGGGATGTGCCGAAGGCCAGTAGGATATATTTTTTGACCGCGCAACGGCCCCACGTACACGAAGGCCTCCTGCAGTCCAATTGGCTGCGCCCCTGAATGGACGCCCTCAAAATCCCAACTCACAGCCAGAGGAGAAAGATGTATAAGGTGATGGCCAGGGCCACATACCCGTGCGACAACAAAGCAAACAAAACAGGAAGAGGACAGGAATGCGGAGCAGAGAGAGCGACGAAGCAAGGAAGGCCGAAGGGCCAGGTAGACAGGCAGCAGCTGTTTGGGGAACCTCACCCTGGACTGACTAGGCGGGGATGTATCAAATATAATGGCACTGTGCGGGCAGCACAGCCTGAATCACTCTCGCTCGAGGAGTTGGACAGCAGATTGGCGTCCACGCAACTGAACTTCAAAAACAAGAAGACGATCATGCGCCACTCGATAGCATTTCAAAAAGAGGAGGGGGAGGAGGGCCGCCCCCGAAAGGAGGACAGGAAAGAGAGAAAGAGAGAGAGAGAGAGAGAGAGAGAGAGGGCGAGACCCAGACCTCCAGAAAAGGTCGACGAAGAAAAAAGGGGAGGGGGAAGAATGGCAGGAGAAGGGGAAGAAGGAAAAGGACGAGAAGCAAGACGGGGAGGAGGATGACGAGGACGAGGAGGAGGAAAAACCGGAGGAGAAGAAGGAGGGGGGGAGGAGGAAAAGTGCGGGAGGAAACCGCGGCTCCGACCCCGCCAGCGGCGCGCGGCCGCAGCCCCAGAGGAAAGGGGGAAGCCAGGGCTCGCGCCGAACAACGCTGTCTGTCCTCCTCTCCCTGGCCAGCTCTCGCTTTTGCTCTGCTCCGTTCGTTTTCCCACATCCCCCCTCCCCTTTATCCCCCTCCCCTTCCATCCTCCTCCTCCTTTTCCTCCCCCTCCCCCTCCCCCTCCCCCCCCTCCTCCCCCTCCCTCCTCCGCCACCCCCCGGCCGCAGCCTGTCACAGATGATTTTCCCCCTGGGCGCGTGCCCCCGACGGCGTTCCAATCGGGCCCCAAGAGACCCCCCCCCCCCCAGACGGCCCAAACGAGTTCCGACTCACCGAACGACGCATTGGGCATCATGTGCAAGTCTTGCATTTCAGGGTGCCCTTTTTGGCATCGCGCGCGACATGGGCTGGGTTCACGGCGAGCGCCGACTTCGGTAGTCTTCTCTTGCACGCGCCACTGCACTGATACGCCTGGCAACTGCGCGCTGTGAACCCGAGTTCCTTGCAACCTCCGCACACCACTTTCGCTCCTTTCGCAGCTCGATGTTCTTTTACTTGGCTGTGCTTCAAATGTGTCGTGTTCGAGAACGCTCCTCCGCACGCCGCGCACGTCAGCGGCTTCGCGTCCGCCTCCGCTTTCCGTTTGCGATTCCCTGCCTCGCAATTCGTCCGCGTAACCGTCTTCTCCCGCTCCTCCGCGCATTTCCGACAGAGCCTCTCCCCCGCAGCATTGTGCTTCTTCTGTGCATTCGACATTTCCGCCTGCTCTTCAAACAGTTTCAGACACGTCTTGCTCGAACATCGCACTGTTCCGACGCTCTCGTTCCACTTCGCGTTGCCTTTCCGCGACTTCTGCTTGGCTTTGACATGGCTGCACTTCGCGCAGTACATTGTCCTAACCGTTTTCGCGTGCCCGTCGTCGGTAGCAGCATCCGCGTTCCGACCGCTACCATGGCGCGCGGCGTCATCACCCTCTGCTTTCGATGCCCACCCTCTTCACGTTGTGCACCATTTTTCGCCGCCGCTTTTCATTTCATCCGTACACTCTTTACAGAACGCCGGCCTGTCCTTTCTCTGGAATTCATACTTCGTGAACGCCTCTACCAACAACCTACGCCGGCAGCGCTCGCACTGGTCCCGTGGCATTAGTTCCGCTTCCCACCCATCCCAGTCCACTTTATCCCCGCGAAGCACCTGCAACAATTTCTGCGTGCCTGATTCGGACAAGCCTCGTGAAATGCAGTCCTGGAGGCGCAGTAGTTTATATAGGGGTCGGCGGATGTGGCGTAAGCCTATAGAATCTTCGAAGAACCCCTCACCACGACATAATCATCCCCAGAGCTCGACGTCTCGTCCTCCTTGTCATCGTCCGTTCCTTCCTTGCTTCGTTCCTGCCGCCTCCCTGATCCTCTTCATCCTCCTCGCGCCGAGTTCCTCCTGCTTCTCCTCCTCCTCCTTCCCGTCCTCCTTACGTGTTCCTCCTGCTCCTCCTCCTCCTCCTCCTCCTCCTCCTCCTCCTCCTCCTCCTCCTCTCCCTCTTACCCCCCAAAAAGGCCCCAGGCATCACCAGCTCCAGCAACACCAGCAGTATCACCGACATCAACACCAGCAGCAGCGGCACCAAAAGCACAAACTACAACGACAACACCAACGATACCATCAACTACACCACCGCCGAGGTTAGACGCCACATACGCTTACCACAAGGAACCGCACGGCGTATCTTGCACAACATTCCAGCTTTAGCTTTCGTGGGGGATCGGCAAAACGACAGCGATTGTTTTCTCCTCCTCCTCCTCCTCCGGTTTCTCCGCCTACAAAGGCCCCATCAGCAGCACCACCACCAGCAAGAGCACCACAAGCAGCAACGCCAGCAGCAGCACCAACACCGACACCAGCAACAACAGCAACAACCTCAACGGCACGAGCACCAAAAGCAGCATCAGCAGCAGCACTGGCATTAGCACCAACTCCCGAGCAATGTCACACCACACGCGAGCTCAAGAGGGGAGGGAGGACAGCGGAGGGAGGAGGGAAAAGGGAGGAAGAAGGTGGGAGGAGAAAGGAGGAATGGGGGATAGGGGAGGATGAGTCATGGACGGGGAGGAGGAAGAGGAGCAGGATGTTCTTCACTGCATCGCTGCCGAGGGCCACGGATATCTTTGTGAAGGATGCTCGCGTTCTCTACAACATTCGGGGCACCCCGAGGATCCAAAACGAGATTGAAAACCACGCGGCACACACACACGGATCCTGCTGGCTAACATGGGGAAGGAAGGAAGCAAAACAGGAAACTTAAGCCAGGATGGTGACGGACGGTCCTCTTCTGCGCAGACTGCTGCAAAGATGTGCATATGAAGATCGGTTCGCCTTCTTCGCTGCGTCGCTGCCGAGGGCCACGGATACTTTCGTGTAGGATGCTCGCGTTCTCTACGACATCCGGGGCACCCCAAACGAGTTTGAACACCACGCAGCACACACATGGATCCACAAACCAACAGACGGCACACTAGTATTTGGCCGACTTCTGCGGCCTAGCAACAAAATACAAACCCGAGGAGCACGACCCCAGGGCCTGAAAGGGAATCCAGAGGACCAACCAGACTACTGGAGATAGGAACGAATAGTACGGCGATGCTGGTCGAGAAACGCACACTCGAAACATCCGACTAGCCTTCGGCACAGCTTCCGAGGATAGGCCTCAGCTAGCTTGGTATAGAACATTCATGCAGGGCTCTTGCCTTCAAGTTGCATGTGGGGAATCCCTGAGAAAACACGCACGCCCCGCCCACAGCAACGTGTGGTCGCGGGGCCGAGGTCGACATCCACAGCTCGAGGGTGCGTTTTCGCCAGGGCATGCCTTCGCCACAAAAATCAATGTAACAATCTCGAGCGAAGACGGGAGCAGAGGTGGGCGACGGCGACGGCGGAGGGGGGAGGCGAAGTGCTGGGTGAAGCCATGCCCAGCTGATCGGGGTACTCGACCACGGCGGGATCTCCGAACTTTGAAGCCTGTCTGAGTAGGCCTCCACACAAGCTGGCAAGGGCACTGCTCGTTCTCACGGCTTTCAAATCCCACGGCTGAAGACCAGGAAGCCCCAACGGAAACAAAGCGTTTCTGAGGGTCGCGGGCCCGTTGGGCCTGTTACGGGCAGTGCTGAAGCTATTGCAAGGCAAACCTATCCACAGGACTCCGAGCGAGCCGTCTTCCAGATGGGATCCCGAAAACTTCTGAATAGTCCTCTAAGACGGGCCGTGCTCACATCCGAAGATCGGGATCTGGCTCAGCCGCGGCTGCTGTCTCCAGGCCGCGCCGAAGCGACACGTGCCAGAAAACAGCTCCTCGGCGAACCCTCGGCCTCTCAGGCGCCCAGCTCTCCGCCTTCGCATCGGCTCGGCAGGGGCCGCGCGTGAGTCGACCGCCTGGCGCCCCCGGCGGCGCGGCGCACCGCCGGCGGCAGCCCGTGCAACAGCTGGTTGACCCTGCCGCCCCTCTTGCACCTCACCACCGACCTCTCTGTGAGCCACCGCCCTCGGCCCTGCAGGCCCCGCAGGTCGCGCGCTCCCACCGGCGCGTCGTGCGAGGCCTCAGCATGTACAGCACCGGCGTCGCCTCCCCCTGCAGCCCGACGGCCTTGGCGGCGCTCTCGAAGTTCGCGGCCCACTCGCGGTGGCGGAACGGGAACGCCAGCGCCTTGCCCCCGCTGCCGCAAAGCCGCCTCATCAGAGCCTCGATCAACGGGAACGCCTCGGCGTTGTCCACAACGATGCTCTCGTCCCTGGCGCCTGTCTTCGAGCTGATCGCCAGCTCCTGGGGGCGCAGGGTCACGCTCCACTTCAGAGCGGACCGCCGACGGCCACCAGCTGGCGGGACCAGGTCGCGCTCCCTGATCCTCAGCACCTCGCGCGGCCTCCAGTAGTGAGTGATGGTGAAGACGACGGCGGCGCCCTTGCGCCAGCTCTCCACGTCCACCAGGCGCTTCGCCACCAGGCAGGCCGCAGCCCACGGCGGCGGCAGGCGCGCCCGCGGCGGGCGCAGCTTCGCAAAGCCCCAGCGGGCCACCAGCACTCGAGCAAGGTTGACACACCCAGGACCAGCCACAGGACGATGGTCCGCGATCGCCACCACCATCTTCGACGCCGCGTTCGGCCTCCAGCCGCCGTAGTACATCTGGTTGAACATCTCCACCACCACCACCTCCAAGTCCGCGATGCGCTGGTGCCGTAGGCCCTGCTCTCGCGTCCAGGCCAGGAACCTCTGGTTCTGGTCGCAGTACTGCGACTCCTGCCGCGCAGACACCGAGCGGCGCGCCAGCGGCGCGCGAGCGGCCGGTGCCGCCCTGGGCCGAGCCGCTGGGGGCGGGCGGGCAGCGCGCCCCCCCGCTGCGCGAGCCTCGCGGTTCACGCCGACCTCTCGGGCCAGGCGGGGCTCGCGCTTGGGCCGCGGCCTTCGCCGCCCACTCCCGGGGAAAGCGTTCGTGGAACTGCAGCGCGTCGGCAAGCTCGCATCGATCGCCGTCGCCACCCCCGCGGAGGACGCCCTCCGCAAGGAGGTCGGGCGGCTGTCCGAGCGGGAATCGGCTCCCACCCGACGCGCCATGGCGCCCCGCGGCAGCATGCTGCGCGCCCGCGGCCGCCCCAGGCTCCCAGGCGGAAGCGCGTAGACAGGCGGCCTCGCGAGGCCGCGTCAGCAGCGCCCCTCTCGGAGGGCACCCAGTGCCACGCGGGGTGCAGGTTCGCGGCCAGCACCGGCGCGGCCGAGCGTCGAAGGGCGCGGCAGAGGCCAAGCGAGCCCCCGCGCCCCTTGGCCCGAGACCGGATTACGGTCATGGCATCGCCGAGGATCAGGTGACGCCTGCCACGGGCGGCTGAGGTCCTGGCCAAGTGATTCAGAGTCCAGGTGGACTAGGTGATCTCCAAGGGCCCACCTGGACGAGGCCACTCGGCAGCAACGACCACCCCAGACACGTTCAGGAACAGGTGGAGCCCGATCGAGCCCCTCGCCCCTATCACCCCGAAATAAATCTCCCCGAGGATTGTGAAAGTGATCATGCTTTTTCTTTTTGTGCAAGACTCCATCGATCGTTGTAGGGCTCCATTACGTTGGCGTCGTTCACGTCGATAACTTTGTTCATCGCCCCACAACCCCAAGACGACGCGTCGAACGCGCGGACCCCAGAGCTGCAACTCGCATCATGCCCCCGAGACATCACAAACACGAGAGCGGCCATCCAGAGAAGCTCACGTGAAACAGACGGCCACAACGAGGAGCGAGGTTTTTGGTTCTGTTGGGCGAAGGCGAAGCAAGCCTGCGGGGTCACGAGCACACGAGAGCGGCCATCCAGAGAAGCTCACGTGAAACAGACGGCCACAACGAGGAGCGAGGTTTTTGGTTCTGTTGGGCGAAGGCGAAGCAAGCCTGCGGGGTCACGAGCATCCCCCCTCCGAATCAGGCACCGCGTCGTGAAGTGCCCGAGGAGCGCCGAGACCTCTCGCCCGCTAGCCCGCCCCAGGCTGGCCACGTGCAGAACGCCATGCGTAGCCACCAGGCGCTGCGCAACGACATCGAGCAGCAGCCCTGCTCGGTGAGGTGCCAGCCCAGCCCGTCGCCGCCCTGGCTGACCTCCACGCCGTGAATCGGCAGTCCGGCGGCAACCAGGCGCCCGCGCACACGTGTGACCACGTCCACCACGGAGCGGTCCCTGCCGAAACACGAAGTTGTCGACGTACTCCGCGCGGGCGATGGGCGAGAGACCTGGGGGGGCCTGCCGTCCACGAAGGCGTTCTCGAGGGAGTCGTCTGGCTCGCGAAGGGCGAGCTCCTCGCGCAGCGCCTGGCGCGCCTGCAGGGCCAGCGCCCAGCCCATCGGCGGCGCCGCAATGACGGGGTGGAAGTATAGTCCCCAGGCTGAAGGGGGACGCCCATCCACCTCGGTGACGCTCAGCTCCCAGGCCCGAATCTTGTCGAACCCGAAGAGGTCGCGCAGCTGAGCTGGCATTGAGATGGCGTAGAAGGCCAACTTGATGTCGGCGCCTCCGCTGGTCAGCGGCGGCCCCACGCCCAGCTGCAGGTTGGCGAAGCACGCTCCGCTCGCGAGCTGCGCGGGGTCGGGGTCCTCGAAGAAGATACTCGGGATCCTCGCGTCGATCGCCAACCGTTGGGCGCCCGACTTCTCCCATGCACTGAAGCAACTGGTTCGACGTCTTACACGGCGCCGAAAGTCTAGGAGGGTAGCGGCATGAAGCCGCTTCAAGAACACCATGTGCACCGTGATGCCGCGCATGGCGGGGTCGGGGCACGGTCGACGCAATCCCCGGAGCTTGAGTCTCGCCCCCCCCTCCGCACTGGGAAGCACCTGGTCTAAAAGCCGATCCTCGATCAACTCGCCTGCAGCGACAGCGGCCTCGCCACGAGGAAACAGGATGATACCCTCAGAGGAGAAGGACCATCAAATCCACGCGAAGAGGGGCGACCCGCGACGCGGAACCGTCGTGGGCCAGCTTGGGCCGAAGCTCGTCGAAGGCTCCTGGCCCGTCGAGATCGCCGGGTGGCGGCCCCATACCCGCTGCGCGCTGGCGAAAGTAATCCAGGGCAGTACTTCGCGCCAATGTCGGCCTCGAGGAATGGCTGGGCGACCCGCCATCACGCGCCCAGCGCATATCGCTGAGGACGCCCGCGAACTCGTCGGTGGCAGCATCGACGGCCGCGATGCGCTGAGCCCGCCACAGAACACATCGGCAAGCAAAGCCTCCACCCCCACGATGACCACGAAGGTCCCGAAGGCGAGGGAGAAGGAAAAGGTCTCGCTGTCGCTGGTCTCGAACTCCAGCCTGGCGAGCAGATTCGGCCCTGTGGTTCCCGTCGGGCCCGTGCCTTTCACCCGACGGGTGTCTCTCATGCTCCAGTGCCCATGGCGCGGCGTTCCTCCCGCGCCTCCCGCACTTGATTCATCGCACTCGCATCTCTCTCGACCTCTCGGGCGACGAAGTCCAGCAAGTCTGGAGACGCCATGCGCCCCCCAGTCTCACGATGCCGCCGCATGAACACATCAATCTCATCCAGCAATGCCGCTCGCCCGCGGCCCATGCCACGGGTCTTCGCGCAATTCTCGCCCTTCTCGCAAGGCGCGGCCTGGCCACCTGCAGGTTCGCGGGGGCGCGCGTGCTCGACTGGCTGGCACTCTCGAGCGATGATCTCTAAGAAGGCGCAGTTCGCGACCTCGAGCGCATCGTAGCTGGCGGCCATCTCCAGGGCTCGGAATCCATTCTCGTGAACCTCGACTCCCCGATCTCCACGCTGGAGGATTCACCTGCCGCCACCACGCGCGATGGTCTCCAGGTCCGCCCACCCGCCCGCCCAGAAACCTCATCGCCCACTCCGCGGCGCGAGGGCCCTGCGCAGGCCTGTCCTGAAACGGCGTCATCACCGCTTGTTCGACCACCTGACGCCGCGGGCGCCGCTGCCTCCCATCCCCGACCAGCTCGATCGGCATGGCGCGGGCGTCGGCGGCCGTCTCGCGGCGCACGCAGCTCTCGACCTCCCTGAACGGCACCCTCCTCAGCAACGCCACGGCTGGCCCGCGGAGCCCTGGCGCAGCGCCAGGCACCTGGGCCTGGCAGAGCCCCGCGTCGTCGATGGGAGGGCACTCCCGCTCCGGGGAAGACGACCATGCCCCGCTCGAGCACGCGGGTGCTCTCCGTCACCACCCGCGCGAGCTCCTCGAGGCGAGGCGGCGCCGGGGTCGGAGCTCCGCCCGCGCCCGCTGCGACCGCGGGGGCGCCCCCAGCGGCTCCGCCAGCGGCGGAGGCCCCGCCGAGCGCGCCAGGGCGGCCTGCAGCACCCAAAGCGTCTCCATCTCCCACCGCTCGAGCCGCGCCGTCTCCCTCGCCAGGGAAACGCGGCGCGGCGAACGGTGGGCGCTCTGGATCGGCCAGCAACGGCAGCAGAGCACCTCCGGCAGGCCCCAGCCCAGGTCCCCCCGCGCGGCGGTGTCGCAGCACGCGCTCATCTCGCGCCGCGATCCTCGCCGGCCTCTGGAACTCCAGCAGCTGGGCGGGCGTCGGCCCTCGCCTGGACCTGTGGGAGTCCCGAGGGGCCCCCGGAAGTGGAGGGCGTCGGCCCTCGCTCCGCCGCACGGCAGCAACGTTCGGGTCGGTCCCGCCCCGCGTCTCACAGTGCACGTCGCTGTCGGGCGTGGCCACCAGCACGTCAATCGCTCCCGCTGGAGAACCCGCCAGGACTCCGAGCACCAGCCGCACGTGGAACAGGGCGGCCCCGGCGCACTGGACCCACGCCCACTCCTGCGCGGTCGACTGCACCATCTCTCAGAGCAGGGGCCCCAGGTCTCGCCGCCGCCAGGAGCGCCTGCCAGCGAGCGCGGGCTGAAAGCAGCGCCGCGAACAGCAGCCCGCGCACGAACGCGCCGACGGCGCCTCCGAGCCGCTCGAGGCCCAGGTTCAGCGCCCACCCCAGCGCGGCCCACCCCTCCCCCAGATCGGCCGAAGGAACCTCGATAGCCTTTTCGGCGGGCGCGGGGGCTCGGGAATCGGCGGCGCCTCCCGGCGGACAGGCCCCCCCTCCTCCGAGGCCCGCGGCTCGCGCGCGGGCTCGGGGCAACTGAGGGGGGGGAAGTGCGCCGCCGCCGCCGCGGGGCACTCCGGGGATGGGCGCGCGGGCGCCCCCGCGCAGAGCAGGTCGGGCCAGCGCGGGCAGGCCGCGACCTGCGCGCGCCAGGCCCGATCCACCCCCGCGCGCGTGACCCACGCTGCCAGCCAAGCTATTGCGGCCGAGACTGAAGGGCTCGGGCGCATGATAAACTTAAGGCGGGCGGTGACGGACGGCCCTCTCCGCGCAGACTGCTGCAAATATGCGCATCTGACAATCGGCCCAGGTGGAGGGGGGGGGGTAGAGGGCGAGGAGGGGGAGGAGATGGAGGGCGACGAAGAGTCAGTCTGAGGTGAGGTAAAGCTCCGCTAAGACCGAGGCTCCGACGCTCTGGAGATAAAATCGGGGCCAACACTTCGACGCGAGACCTCGGCGCTCCTCGACAAGAGGGCGCCAGCGACGGCGCCTTTTCGGCGGGCGCCGGCGCGCGGCCGAACTCTGTCCAAACCTGCTGCTGCTCTCGCGCTCTACTTAAGAGCAATAAGCGCCTGCCCCTCTAGCTCAAGATCAATGAAAACCGTGGCTTCATCAGTGCCCCGCAGCAAAATGAGCGCGGCGGCCTCCAGGATAGGGCCACTGATCGCGACCGTCTGCCTGCGCACTTTCGAATCATGCGTGCATATACCCAATATGCCGAAACGACCACCCTTCGGGCGATGACAAGGTTGCGCGGGGGGGGGCGGGGGGGGCAGCGCCTAACTTAGTCGATCTCGCAATGAATCTCGCTCGACGGGGCGCCGCGGGACACCTCTGGACACATGTCGATCTCATTATCGATCGCACTATCAGACTCGCTCAAAGGGGCACCACGGGACACCGCGGGACACCGCGAGCCACGGCTGGACAGTCGGACGGGCGGGCAGGCGGGGGATAATCATTTGATTTGACTTCGCCCATGCAACGGCGGACACCGCGGGGCGCCACGGGACGCCGCGGGGCGCCGCGGGCCAACGCCGGACGGACGGACGGGCGGGCGGGGGGGAATAATTTGCCCGGACTTCGCCCTAGCAGCGGCGGGTTCATTCCTCTCGCGCGCCCGCGCAACTTCGCCTCGCTCGCGCGCGCGACACGACAGAAACGAGACGACTTCCCGGTCGGGGGTCTCCGCCCCGCTGCGATCTCACCCCCCAAACCTCCGATGCGCGAACATTCTCTGCGCGAGAAAGTTTGACGAGGAGCTGGGGCTGGAGACCGCCTGGCATAAAACTCCAACAACTTGCGAAGGACTGTCTGTTGGGGCTCACTGACGCGGGGAATCAGCGCAAGCCCAACTTTCGTGGCAATGAAGCTGTCGGGGGTGCCGAGCGCGCATGCTTTTCTCCATTCTCGCGACAAAGTGCCCTTGGTCACGCGCTTGCTTCATGGCGTAGTAGATCGGGCCAGCGACTTTGAACGTGATCAGCGCCGCGCGCGCCGCCGCCACGAGCAGGCGGTTTCTTTGGGCGCTGATGGCGCGCAACTTCAGCGCGAGGTCGGCGTTTTTCTCGATCGCGGTGTCCTGGGCGGCCAACCTCTTGCGAGCCTGGGCGCCAGGATCTCCACTGCTCGCGGCGCTCTCAGCTTGCTCGCCATTCATGCTGAAGTTGCGCAGCCATTGCTGGCTAATCTGCTGCGCGCAGGGGAAGACATGCACGGGGACTGAAGAAGAGCGGCAGCAACTGGGAAACGAAGACTGCAGAAGCCAGTGCGCCACATACTGGCGACGGCATGCAACGGCAATACCAATGGAAACGCGAGCCGCGCAGCCTCGGAACAGCAGACGGCGAAGCGCCGCGCATGGAAAGAACGCACCCCGCGCCGACCGCGGTACCCCTGGCAGGAACACCAAAAGACGCCACTTGGACCCCCCCGCAAGGGGATGGGGGGGGGGCGGGGCGCGGGGGGCCGAATTCTAGCATCCCCGCCACGGGTGTGCCCAGGAAACGCGAGGCATGCATTCCACGCAGGCGGGGCCACGGGGCCTGGGGTCATGGTAGCGCTCGACAACTTGGTCGTTCAAGGGTAGGCGCTGTCTAAGATGCCACGGGGCCTCCGGATATCCGTCGATCGAGATATCACAAAGCTTGCAAGCGTTGGGGGAAGGGTGCTCATGATCGGAAACCACGGCCGAACCACGGGACCTAGGACTGGCGCGGTTCGCGAGGCTCCTGATCATGTGTTGCTAGCAATACGTTTAGTAGAATAAATGCTGCCGCGCAAGATTCACGGGCGAGGCGCCGCTCGCCGCCGAGAGAACTCGGGCACCAAAAAAAAAAAGGGGGCGCGATTCTCCACGGTCTCTTTATCATATCTAAATCCCTACTTTCTAAAATATTACTCCTTTCTAATTACCTCATCATTACTCTCCCCCCCCCCCCCCATTTCATCACACTCACATCTATCCCTTTTTTTTTTTTCACATTTTTTCATTCCCCCTATACTTATTTTTTTTTCTTTTTTTTTATTTTTCGTTTATTTTTTGGTGTTGTGGTTGGTTGGGGGGGGGGTTGCCCGGGGGGGGGGGGGGTGGTGTGGTACCCCAGTGGGGGGGGGGGCATCTGTTGACCAAGGCATTTGCCGGGCAGGACACGGGGGCCCACGGACAGCAAAGCGCGCCGAACTTCCTCATCGCAGAACAGCGACGCAAGACGCTCCTGGACGCGAGCGCGTACGTCTTCACGTCCACCCGCGCGGAAAAGCTCTCCAACGTCGCCCTGAAACTGCCGCCGCCATTCCCGCGCAGGCCCCGCCCGATGGCCC